TAGTCTAGCTAAGCGTAACTAATTTCGGAATTGCTTGGATAGCCTAAACCACCATGACGGCGTCTAATTGCACGAGCACCTAAAAGTGTCGCTTAAAAGAATATTGGGTGTTCAGGTACCACCTAGTGGCTTGACAGCCCCCCAGCCCGATTTATAGAACATAGATGAAAATAGAATATGAGTTCAAATACATTTATTGGTCACATGATAACTAAATACATTTATAACTCTAGTTCCATCTATGGCCGATAGGTCATGGGTTTGAGTCACTAAGGACGAAAAGTGCGAACACTATTGAAGATAGATTGTTAAGAGTCATACTTGACATTCCTCTATCTACTCCAAAAGAAACTTGTTTAAAACTACCGACATTTTCTAAACATTGTTCCGCGTGAGCTATTCTTCTGTCGAAATGGAACTTGTGAGCTCCTGGGCAATTATCATCGCGCCTTATGCTTTGTAATTTGACTTGTATGGATTTTACTTTCAATCTAAAAATAACTAGGCCTGAAATATCCATAAATATACTGAATATTTATGATCCTTTTTAAAAATACTAATTATGTTTTAATTTTATTTTTATTCTAAACCTAGTTTATAAGGCATAAATTTTTCTTAAACTTTTTTCTCCTCATCTTTCTTTTAAAATTATAAAAAATTTACTAACTTAAATTATAAATATATTAATAAGTTAATAAATTTTGTATCAAATTTTTGTATATATCTAATCAATCATGTTTTGATAAGTTTCGATTTGATATATATATATATATATTATACATACAAAATAAATAAATATTAAATTTATCTCTATAATAGAAATTAAATCACATATTAATGTTAATTGGAAAAAATAAAGTTCTTTAAACTCATTTAACTATAACGTAGTTATCAGATAAGTTAAAAAAATCATGATAATACATGATAACTCGTATAGATGACGGGTATAATTTTAAATATAAATAAAGATATAGTTTTTTTAATTAAAATATTTTAAATTTTAAATATAAATTTCTTAACAAACACTCATGTAATACACTGGTATTATATAATGCAGTTTTTAAAATGTGAATCATTACAAACTAATTAGCTGAAAAAATGTTAACATTATTATTATAGTAATTATTTATGTAATTTTAAGGGATTCGAATATATCATTATTACCGATGAACTTATTTAAAAAAAAAATATCTTAATGAGATGAATAAAAATAATATTAGTATTACAATAAATAGCTTTAAAAAAATTACAATATAATATTTATAATTATTTAATTTTCAATAACAATTAAAATCGCTATACGATTTTGTATACTTATATAATTTTCATATAAAAATTAGTGCGGAATATAGTTAGTTAGTTTTAATATGAACTATTAGATGATAGAGTACTTAAAAATATAATTATTACTTAATTAATGTACAATATATATAATGATTTCTTACCATAATCAACTTAAAGAAAGAGTTTGTCTTCTTATAAATAATGGGAAATGCTGCTGTCCGTGAGGAATGATTCCCTCAAATCAGTATTAGTCACTAGGTATTTTAGTTTGGATAAATCCTAGATGTAGTCAAATAAAAGTGATATGACAGTCTTTTATTAGAGTTTCATGTAAGGAAATGGTTTCGTCACGGAACTGTAGCATTTTTCTGTAATAATAATAATGCATCTTTAAATGTTGATATGTATAAATTATTATATCAATTAGTTTTCACAATTTTAATTATCTATATTTAGTTAATAATGTATTTATGTATAAATTTTGTTAATTAAAATAACAAATACTATTTAAAATATTAAAAAAAAAAAATCCAGTACAACCAATTGAATCAGTGGTCCGATCAATAAATCATTGACTATTTAACTTCACCGGTGATAACCGCTTTGGTTCTGTGAACCTTGCATCCTAAATCTATGACTGAGTCCAAGATGGGCAATTAGTGGTCAACGTTTTAGATGCAAAATTTTGTAGCAAAATGAATTTGACAAGGGACAACGGTTTTGGCTTAATGATTATTGCATTTGATCATAATAATCTTTTTAAAGGAATATTATTTAACCATTCTACCATATAATACTTAATAATAGTATTAATATTAATTAATTATAAATTAAAATTAGATGTTTATGGAACTTATACACTTATAAAAACAATTATAGGAACATTGCTATTTATTTTATAATTAACATTATCTTTTTTTTTTCTTAAGAAATATTTAAATAGCTAATTTATTTTAATGACAAAACAAAAACTCTAAAAATTGGATAAAATATTAATAATAATAATAATAATAATAATTTAATACTTTTTTTCAACTAATTAAGTTATCACGATTACTTAAATTTGTAAAAGTGACATTATTCATTACATTTTATGAAATTTAAATAGTGATTCATATATAATTAAAATATTTTATAATTACTGTTTCACCATTGATCAAATTTATAAAATGTAATATGTAATTATGTAATTTGAAATTTGAAATATAATATTCCATTCATGTGACTAATAATATGTTGCGCAAATTGAGTCTCGACCGGGTCAAACCGTACACACTAGCTCGAACTGCCTTAGCGTCTCTGATGACCTGCAAAACGTCGAGAGGGATCCTGGCGGAAAACACTCCGACGCTCAAGTCAGCTCAACGCTCAATGATAATATGTCGAGAAAATGAATTTACGCGTGTTGTCGTGTAAAAGAAAGAAACATGTCCCTTTTTATAGTCAAGAGCGTTTGTGCCTTACAAGACTTCTAGTAGGGCAAGGAGTCTTCCTTCCATCTGTCTCTCAACCCTACATTTTTTCATCTATCAATACAAAGTCCTGGGTAGCCCCGACTCGCTTGGTTAATGGGATCAAGGACGGATCCCCCCCAAACTTTTTTTAATTCCTTAGTACTATGTATATATAATATATAATACTATGTATATTTAATTGTTTAACCCCTTAAAATATAAACTAAAATAAATAATATATTAAATAAAAAAAATTCAAACAGAATCATTTTTTTTGGAGGCGTATGATTCAATTTTTTTTCCTTTAATAAACAGTAAGCATATATAATATAATAAATTAAATTAGTTAATTATTTTTTAAACTATTAAACAAATTATTAAAGTAAACCATATAAAAGGCAAAAGAAATTCACTTTTCAGCTACAACAAATTTGACAGAGCACGACTCGACGGACGACGAGCACTGAGCANCAGGCCTTTGTCTAGCCCTGCACATGCCGAGCTCCTCAAGGGCATCAACCCATTGATGTAGTCGAGCTTCCCCAACATGGTCGTTCCCTGATTCCAGACCCCCAGGCCTTTGTCGAGCTCAATCTCGGGCTCGGGCTTGTCCTCACAGTTCAACCCGTCCTACCAACCAGCTCGGGGAGATAGACAAGCTTAGCTCGGTTCCTCCGTAACTAAGTTCCTCACCATCCCGCACTGTTGAGCCCTAAGTCCTGGTGCCGAGCTTAACTCCTGTCTCGTGTTTATGTCCTACGAGCCACACTATATTATGCCATATCATAATATTTTCTATTTGCATTTGTGCATATACACATGGTTGAGTACTGGTGAAACTCATTCTAGTGTTCTTTTTATTGCTCTTTTAAGTTGATGGAATGGGCCTAGTATTTTCATAAGTTGGGCTTAGGTCATTTACTAGTTCAAATATATCATTCACTTACAGTTATTGTATACCTATTTTATTATATTATTCTTATTTTTTGAAAAATATACAATCTCGTTGACGGAATGGTTCCGTCAATAGTTTCTACCGTATATATACATGTAGATTAATTTTGTATAGATAATCAAAGATAAAAACTACTGACAGAATCATTCCGTCAACGGGACTCTAGTCACCCCCCTTATTTTATGTACTTATTCCTCATAGAATATTACATAAGTATATCATATATAAATAATAATTTATATCTTTATTATTTATAATTATAAATAAATTTTATTTTCTTATAATAATAATAATGCATCTTTATTTGTACTGGATATGCATAAATCATTATATCAATTACTTTGCATAATTTTAATCATCTATATTTAGTTAATAATGTATTTATTTATAAAATTTGTTATTTAAAATACTAAATACTATATAAATATTAAAAAATACAAAAATGGTTCAACCGGTTGAACTATAGTCCGATCAATAAACAATTGACTATGTAGCTTCACCGGTAACAACTGATAACCGATTTGGTTATGTGAACCTTGCTTCCTCCATCTATGAGTCCAAGATGGGCAATTAGTGGTCAACTTTTTTAGATGCAAAATTTTGTAGCAAAATGAATTTGACAGGGGACAACGGTTTTAGCTTAATGATTATTGCATTTTATCACAATAATCTTTTTAAAGGAATATGCAAAACTAATCTATGTGAAAAACATTCCGTGCAATCATAAATCATAAAAATCACTTGTTGGGAATGCAAACTCAATCCCACATCCAAAGATTAAAAATTTTCAAGTCAATATATAAACTTGGTGGGCTACTCCTTCTATTGTCAATTGATTTTAGAATGGAACCCCATTTGGACTTGTATGTTGGGCTTGATGGAGATCTGATTTTGAGTTAGACTTGTATGTTGGGCTTGATGGAGATCTGGTTTTGAGTTAGAGGTCCTAACATCACTCTAAGAAACTTCAGGCCGGCACCCCCAATAAATAACAAAGTATAATACAAATTAAAATAACTAATAATATTATTTAGTTATAAAACTAATTTATAACAGCTTATCCTTTGCTGTCTTTCCCTTCCAAAAAAAACACACATATCCGCGTCTCCCACTCTGTGCTTCCACACACGCATTCACGCACCGTGTGCTTCCGATACACTAATATACGTATACAATTCTCTCTTTCTCGATATATATAGCAGTTATAAGCTCTCTTTACACATTTTTTCTCTCTCTTCATTCATTTTCAACCCCATGATTTTGAATTGAGGCACGCCTTTTCTTTTTCCTAAACCACGCAGCAGAACATGGCCGCCATCACCGCTACCCTTTTCCTCTCTCTCTTCCTCCTAACCCTCGGCCGGGCCCAATCCCAAACCCGTCCCACACCCGCCGCCCCGCCGCCGGCCTCCGACGCCTGCGTCGGAGTATTCCTCTCTTACTCCTACGAAAGCGGAAGGATCCTCCCGCCGATTCGGCCCTCGGATCCGGCCCGACAGCCCTACCGGTTCCAGTCCTCCTTCACCGTGCTCAACAACGACGCCCAAGAGCTCAAATCCTGGCGGGTTTTCGTCGGGTTTCAGCACGACGAATATCTGGTGTCGGCCACGAATGCCGTGCTTTCAGATGGGAGCGCGATGCCGGGGCCCGTGGGAAACGGGTCGGTCTTCGCGGGGTTCCCGAATCCGGATCTGAAAACGGGTATCGATACGGCGGGGGATTTGACCCAGATGGGAGTTCAGGTCGAGCTGGTGGGTACGCAGTTCGGAGTGGTCCCGCCGGATGTGCCTATGCCGGCGAATATCTCTCTGGTCAATGATGGGTGGATTTGTCCCAGACCTAGAATGCAAGGTGAGTTTGTGCCATTGTGTGTTCCCCTCTCTTCCCTTTTCAGTTTTTGTGGATTTAATTTACTATCTGTTTGGAGCTAGAGTTGGGAGAATTTGGTGCTTCTTTATGATTTGGCTTTTGGGAGGGTTTATGTTATGTGTTTTTGTTCTCCTACGGTCAGATTATTGAGGATTCCTGAAGTTGGAGAGATCGATGGACTGGATTAGTTTAGATCGATAAGAGGTCTTAAATTTCTGGGTTTTGAATGATTATATGAACAATTGGGCGACCTTTTAAATCTAATTTATTTTTGGACTGCTTTTTGAACTTCTAAAATTGAGATCAATTGCTTATGGAGATTTTGAGAGTTTTGCTTGATGGTGAGAGTTGAATACATTGGAAAATTGCGATCAATTGCTTCAAGTGATTTTGAGAGTTTTGCTTGATAGTGAGAGTTGAATACATTTGACTAAATGCCCTGATGGGTCTTCTGAGGATTTTTCATGTGGACAAATGGATAATGTACAAATTTGGCGACTGGGAATTTAAAGAGAAAACATTCAGAGACAACGCGGAATTTTCCAAACATCTGATAAAGTTCAAACGTCTCTGCACTTGGTATTCATTATGTTGATCTCAAAATTTAAAATAGAAGCAATGAAGCATCATAACTGCAGTTGAACATGAAAATCGGTGACTTAAAACATCTACATTGTAGTTGGATATTAATTTCACCTTCCAGTTGTTCTTGCATTTGCCCTACAGCAATCATGTTCCACTTGCTGAGGTATTAGAAGGTGTGAAATTTGAAAATAACTTAACTAGTTTCTTCTTCTAAGATTTTTGTTCTTTGAAGCTCGTTAAAACGTCTTGGAAAGTATTTCCATTTGCTTGTACCGAATCTGGTGAAAATCATTCGACATCAAATCTAAACGTAGTTTTTTCTTTCACATTATTGTTCTCAGGAAATAGAACAATGCAAGTATGTTGCACTCAAGACCCAAATTTCCTTCCCAACACCACCTCAGACAACGAATTCCTCCCCCGCCAAAACGGCGACCTGACCATAATGTACGACATAACTCGCACCTACCCATCCAACTACTGGGCCCAGGTCACGATCGAGAACCACAGCCCACTCGGCCGACTCGACAACTGGCAACTAAGCTGGGACTGGATGGAGGACGAGTTCATCTTCGCCATGCGTGGAGCCTACCCTTCCGTAGTCGACACCTCCGCATGCATCTTCGGCCCACAAGGCCAATTCTACCAACAACTCGACTTCTCCACCGCCTTGAACTGCGACCGCCGCCCCACCATAGTCGACCTCCCTCTCTCCATGACCAACGACACCACCTTCGGCATGGTCCCCTTCTGCTGCCGAAACGGGACGATTTTGCCCCCGGCCATGGACCCTTCCCGCTCCCGCTCCTCCTTCCAAATGAACGTCTTCAAAATGCCCCCGAACGTCAACCGCTCTGACCTCACCCCACCCCAGAACTGGGCCATCCACGGCCGCCTCAACCCGGACTACACCTGCGGGGCCCCAATCCGGGTCGACCCGTCCCTCTTCCCCGACCCGTCCGCCCGTCTTCCCGACTCCGCCGCTGTCGCCAGCTGGCAGGTCGTCTGCAACATCACGGCTCGAGCCAGAGGCTCGAGCCCGCCGCGGTGCTGCGTATCGTTCTCGGCGTTCTACAACGAGTCGGTCGTCCCGTGCCCGACGTGCGCGTGCGGGTGCCCGGGCCCGGCGGCCCGGACATGCAGCCCGACGGGCCGGGCCCTGCTACTCCCGCCCGAGGCGCTTTTGGTGCCGTTCGAGAACCGGACGCAGCTGGCGGCTGCGTGGGCCCAGCTACACCGGAATGCGCTCCCGGCAGTGCGGCCGTGTGGGGACAACTGCGGAGTCAGCATCAACTGGCACGTGCTGACGGATTACAGAGGCGGGTGGTCGGCGCGAGTCACGCTTTTTAACTGGGATGACGATGCGTTTGCCGACTGGTTCACGGCGGTTGAGCTTAAACGGGCGGGTTTGGGATTCGAGGCGGCGTACTCGTTTAACGGGACTGCGATGGGGCTTGGGGTTGGTGGTGGGGTGAATGATACGATTTTTATGCAGGGATTGCCGGGTCTGAATTATTTGGTGGGGGAGGTTGATGGGGAAGGGAGGTCGAGGGGGCTGAGGGTACCGGGGAAGCAGCAGTCGGTGATTTCGTTCACGAAGAGGAGGACACCGGGGATTAATGTGTCGGGAGGGGATGGGTTTCCGACTAAGGTTTATTTTAATGGAGAGGAGTGCGCGTTGCCGGATGTAATTCCGACGAGTGGTGTGGGGCGGCTGGTGGTGGTGGGGTCGTCGGGGTTGGTGCAGGTGGTTGTGGGTGTGTTGGTTTGTGTTTTCTTGCGGCGATAGTGAATGAGTGAAGACAAGCAGGTCACGGCGCGTGTTTATTTGTTCATTCTTTTTTTGTCTTGGTTTATGTGTGGTGAAATGATTTAGTGAGAAGGGTTTTTGTTGGAATGGGGTGGTGATGGTTCAGTTGTTTTGTGGGGATGTTTTTGGTCGAAATTCTGGTTGTTGAAGATGGTGGACTTTTTAGAACAGTATCAACGTTGGGTTTGTAATATATAGTGCTATACACATTTTGTCTTTCTATTCTAGTGGTATTTTTTGCATTGCGCCCGGACATTACGGAAATAATACAAATTTCGTATACCTAAAATATTATATAAAATCAAATTAAATGGTGATAATTATTGTGCAATAAGGTTTTGTTTTTTATTGATATTAAAAAAAAAAGTTGAATTTGGAATTGTGAGTTGACAACTGATCATATATATATATACTTTATATCGAGCATAATATCGAGCATATGGATCAATTATTATTACTAGAACCACTGTTATATAAAATATAATGAATTATATCATTTTCCATCATAAAAATAGTTTAATATGATCTATTATATAAAATTGGGAAATTCTACAGTCCCATTACGGAATCATTGCGTCGGGATTTGTAACCGTTAGATTATCATGTAACCAGGAGTGTACTCAGATTTTTTTTTAACCCGGGGCTACATATTATTGTAGCTATTATTGGAACCGAGTAGACATGGTCATGGGCCGACCCAGCATGTCGGTTCGGGCCGAACCGACACAAACCGGCCCGTTGACCATGGGTCTTGAACCGGCCCATGGTTTTGACCAGTTCGGTTCATGTATAATACTTTATAGTTTATACATTTTGAACCGGCAGTATCGGTTCTGAACTGGAATCGAAACCTGAGGTTCGGCTTTTTAAAAAAATATATATCATTTTTTAATTTTTTTTTATTTTTTTTAATGAATCGAACGACTAAGAACCGACAATTCAATGAACCGACCCGTGCATTTGTCCGCGCTAGTTCAGGGTCCTCCAACTCTCGTCTCGGGATCGACGATTTCGACCCGTAACCGGTTTTGGTGATCATGACTAGAACCAAATTATCTGATAACATATGTCGGTTTGAATTGAAAAATCTCAATCTTGACTCGCTTATATATTTAAACAAGCCAAACCCAAATAGCTAAACGAACTTGTTGATCAAACAAATAGAGTCGAGCATGTTTGCACTCAACTCTGTAAGAGTTTTTTCTTTGTCAAGGAATTGAGACCAAATTAATTATTGGAGGCGAAATCAACAAAAAAAATAATAAATGAAAATAGATAACGGACTGTGCAATGAGACGAACCCAATTAAATAGCCTGCAAGAGAAGTGTGTGTCAAGCTTAATTGTCTAATTCATTTGGTACTTGTCAAGTCAACCCATTAAAAAAATTAAAAGGCAAGAGTGTGTTCGGCTACATTATAAACTCAATTGATAAAAATCTAATAAGGACACAATGTCATCTAACAATAAATGATTAATCATCAGTTTTCCTCTATTGTTGTCATATAAAAAATTTCGACCTGAATTTTAAGGCATTCAGCCCAAATTAAGTGGGGCTACATAAAAAATTATATGGGACTAATGGGGCTTATGTATAAAATTTTTTAAAAAATAAGATTAGGAAATTTTTTTTTTAGGACATGGGGTTGGAGTCCACCCTAGCCCTAGGGTGGCTCCGCCCCTGCATGCAACCGTCATGGATAGTTGGTCTAACAGTTACCAATCCCGACGGAATGGTTCCGTAACGGGACTTTAGAATCTCCCAATAAAATATACTAGAACTAAATAAAATGTTATAAAAGTTGAAAGCTTCCAAAAATAGGTGGAAATAAGCGTTTGAATGAATATTGCGAAGACCGTTTTATCAACACAAAGGATTTGGAAAAGAGTTTGTTTCGGGGTATTATGACTCTTCAAAAAACGAAAAATCGAAAAAAGGTGGAAATAAGAGTATGTTCGGGATATTATGAACATTTTTTTTAAAAAAAAAATAGTTGGTTTGTTAAAAATTTTATTGTCATCCGCACCTTATATATGTCACTAGCACAAACATGGGTGTGTTACTCAGATACTAAATAAGAAATGTATATTTATTTATTTAATTTTTTTTATTTTAAAATTTAAATATTTTTTAAATTTATTTATTATTTATATTTAAAATGACATCAGTCACTTGTATGATTATCTGTCTTATATTATATTATTTTTCTATATCATACAATCATTTTATAGACAAATTTATTTAATTAATAAATAATTCATTATTTTACAATATATTAATATATAATTTTTTTTATTAGAAAGATAAATATATTTGTTTATTTTATATATGAAATATGAATATAAAATCGAAACTCGTCAAAAATATAACTAAATTGATATAGTGTATATGAAAAAATAATAAAAAATTCAAAAGTTATAATTTAAATATTTATACATGTTTTTGTAATTTTACTAAATTGATATAGTGTATATGAAAAAATAATAACAAATACAAAAGGTATAATTTAAATACTTATACATGTTTTTGTAATTTTAAAATTTCTCATTGGCACGGATAGAAGTTCACATAATCACATTGACAATGCTCCGAAACACCAAAATCGACATATATAATTATGACGCATAAAAATTTGACATATAAGCTAGAAAAACTTTACATAGGATTACAGAATTACAAATTACCAATAAGTTGATACATATAGACTACATTTATTTATCTTATATGTATCATTACATTTATATTAATCTTCCTTCAAAATCTTATTTACCACATTTCTATCTCAATGATGTATCAAACACGACCGATAAAAAAATAAATAAATAAATAAAAAGATAAAAAAAATTATGTGTCAAACACTAGTTACATATTTATTTATTAACATATCGACAAAAATGTAAATTTTGACAATTAATACAAAATATTAAATAGTAACAAAGCATGATCAATAATAGCCAGATTAAAAACATTAATTCAATGCTCAGAAAATATTCTACTTATTTAAATTAGAGACTTTGAAAAGTTCTCATAATAACATCATCGAAAAGGCTAAATTAAACAGCACCACTCTATAAGGAAATCATTCGCCAACTCCCTAAAAGAGCGAGAAAAAATAACCAAAATCGCACATGGTACGCTAATAAGCGACACACATATTCCTCCATCTCTAACTATTAAAAGGTTCACCCACTCATTCATAGGACTGATAACTCCAGCTACATAAACTATAGTCTATGTACAAATTACTTACTGAGGTAGATACGGCCTAAAACGGTGGCATGTTTACACGGGAAGATTATCCAAATTATAAATATTGAAGTCGAACTCATTATCGATGGCTCCCACGCCTTCTTGCTCCTGCAAAGAGAATATTACTGTTACTCGTCTATTTATCAGTTGAATTCACAAGTTGAGTGCTTTAGAAGATAGAAGCTAAACGTTGAATCAGCAAAAAGAATTTGTCGAGGGAATGAGCTGTCAATTGCTTTTATACCCAAAGCAAATCACAAGTATATATAAACGTATAAATCAATGCATTCTATGTTTTTGAAACATAAGTTGTAAGTAAAGATTGTCATTTTCGAAAAACAATACAAAAAGCCATTCTTCAGCCAAAGGCTTCAAAATTGTTCATTTGATGGGAGTTGGAAAAAAAAAAAAAAAAATTGTGCAAACAGTTTCTGCTAATTTAATGCAACTTATGCACCATGGTCACACACAAATAAGCTAACCTCTTTTAGAAGCATGCTCATGAGGTCTTCCTGGCCAGAGAGCTCATGTGAAAAGCCGTTCTCGAAGCTCGAGCCCATATTTGGCATCCGTTGAGCCTTAATCTTAAATGTATTCTCACCGAACGAGCTAACCAGCTGACTAGTGTTTGCAACATTCCCAAGTCCACCTGCCACAGAAAAGCCCACCCCATTAACAGGCCCACTCCCGATTTGCTGCACATTTGGCCCGACATTTTGCAAAAACAAATCCCGAGCTCTGTTCTGATTTAAACCCCCAAAAGCACTGTAGTTAGCGAAAAAGCCCCTCGATCCTTTGACTTGCGAGTTGACATCATCTCGTGACTTTATAACAGGGCCCATTGTTCTCGCATTTATGGCCTGAGATGGTTGACCAGAAATCCCTATTGGCAAACAGGGTTGACTTACGCGAGAGTTGACCTCATTAAAATTTTGGGCCCTCGGCTGCGTTTGAACCATTGGAATCGACAAAGAGCGGTTCGTGGTAGTTGGGATGCCATGCAGTAAGTTGACTTGATTGACATTACTGTTTTGTTGAGGTTGACCATTGGCAAATCTTGATTTTGGGCTATCGAAGCTGAAAATATTATTTCTTTGGTCGACAAGAGGTGAGGTTATTGTGTTGTTGGTGGTGGGCTGGGCCTGGCCAAGGGCAGCTGCTTGTTGGATTGTGGCGAGGCTGTGGGCCGGAGGAAGTTGGCCAGAGGCAGCAAGGGCTTGGAGGTCAACAGCACTCAGTTGAGTCATTGGGCCGAAAGGAGAATCGGGCAGGCCCATGAATGGGTTCGGGAGCCCATTATGGTGCTGGGAACTTAACCTTCTCAGATATAGTCGGTACTTCTGGAATAGCTTATAGTTAGACTTTAGAATAGGAAAAAAAGAAAAACAACAACAACAACATAGCCTTTTAGTCCCAAGCAAGTTGGGGTAGGCTAGAGATGAAACCCAAGAGAACAAAAAAAAAAAAAAATGATCTTTACAAAACTCTCTTGATCTTTGTTCCTATCTTTACAAATTATACCATGGAAATACAAAAATTGATGGGTATGGATAGTTCAAAAGAAAGCTGGCCCATTCTACCAGATTTTGGAAGTTAGTTTTGAAATTAAACCCAATTTAATGAAGGGCCATACACATAGTTCATTTCATAGATGTAAATAGTTTATGGCTTTAGTACCATAATATTTCGAACAAGAAAACAAGTATAATAGAATATAATTTGTCTTGCCTGAAGATGACTAGCAACGTTCTCTCTACTGAGGCCAGGAACATTCATTAACTCGAGAATCTTCTTAGGAACAGCCTCTGCAGTGTAGAATAAAATGTAACTATCACAAGTGACGGAAAATTAATTGGTCAAAGAAATCCAATCATGTCCACTCAAGGCAGGCACAAAGACACAAAAATTTCCAAAAATAGTTGATATTTTTCTCAGTAATTTTTTTCTCTGAAAAAAAATAACATGAACAACAATTATAGGAAGATAAACTATCAGTACTTTCACATCATCTTTAACTTGGTACTAATACATTCATGTAATCATATAACATGCAATAAAAAACAACCGTGAAAAGCCGATGGAAGGAGGGTACTTACTGTCTATTCCGAGTTGATTAACTGCAGCTACAAATTGCTGATGCAGCTCGACTGACCAAACGACCCTTGGTTTTTTCAAAGACGATGTGTCGTCCTTGTCTACCGCCTCATCTTCCTCGTCTTTTCTTTTCTTGGAAGTATTCCAATTTTCTTCACTGACTGACAAGGAATAATCCAAATCCTCAGGCAGCTTTTGCTCGTCCACGCTTCCCAAATGTTGGTCGAGATCCTTTTCTTTCCACTCATGCTGCCTCTTTCGCACCAAGTGCTGCCATATGTTCTTTAAAGCCTCCATACGGATCGGCTTTATAAGATAGTCACAAGCACCATGTGTCACTCCCTTCATAACCACATTTTTGCTGTCATCGGCTGACATCACTGCAAACCACGAAACCAAACATTATAATTGTAAATAAGAAAAATATAATAATAGGTTTCAATGAACATATTATGGCTAGTAATGCTAAACTACAATTGTTGTCCAGCAGTCAACAGAATAAACTTAATGGAAATGACCAAAACTAAGGAGTTGCTAGGAATTTTATAAGCTTTATACAATTACAAACTCCAAATGAATTACTACACCCAAATATGAGTATAGGACCAAAATTTGGGAAATATAGAAGAAAAATACTGACTGATAACTGGCAGATCCATTTCAAGGCCAACATGCTCCAGAAGTTTAAAGCCATCCATGTCAGGCATGTGTACATCGCTTATAACAATGTCGTATACGTTTCGTTTGTCCCTTAGAAATTTCAATGCAATCTCTGCACGGTTGCACGTTGTAACTGGGAAAAGGAAATAAGAAAATAAATAGCTATTAGATTAAATTTTTTGCAGAAAAAAAAAAAAAATTAGGGATAGCTGTTTTCTAATTTCAAGAATCCATCATTTTCAAGAATTTTAACACAGTTTCTTGGTCAAATTTTTTATCCGGAAATCAAAGCTTCACAAATAATTGAAAACCAAAAATAAGACGAGAAAAGAAAAAATAAGAAGATAACAGTAATACAAAAAATGATCTGTAAATGATAAATATAAGCTGCACATTAAAAAGAACAATTGCTCAAGAGAAAAAGACTTGGCGCAAGAACACACACGTCAAGTGTGTTGAGACATTACCTTCATACAAGCAATTTTTCAGCATCTTCTCCAAGATCCTTAAGCATGTGGGGTCGTCATCCACAACAAGAACTCTCAGACCCGCCGGAAATTGATCGGAAAGTCCGTTGCCGGACTTCCATAAAGCATTCACACTCGCGAAAGACATGGGCGTTACTCCAAGATTCATATTTTAAGTCAAAATATTGCAAATCAACTAAATAATTTGCATGTGAACAAGTAAAATCGAGAAGGAAAATTCTTCACGAATCACATAATTTGAACTTGCTCGTAACAGGATTTATATGCAGGTAATTGAAAACCCATTAAACAATGGTTTGAGTATAAGAGATTGGGATTCTACAGCACTAAACTTAAATTTTATTTATTTTTTCTAAGAAATTAACGATAATGATTTTAGGCAGGAAGACGAAAAGAGGACAAGAAAATGATGACAGAGAAGTTTTTGGGTTGTATGGTAGCGTGTACACGAAATTGAAGATAGAGACTAATGAGGTTTGTTCGTGTGCTGATGTGCTCTCCTCTCTCTCTCTCTCTCTCTCTCTCTCATGGTCATGGGCTTCCATTAGTTTGCAATTGTTTATTATATATTCTTTTCTTCTGTTGCTTTTTTCTTTCATCTCTCTGTTTTTTTGTTTTGTTGGAGAGTCAGTCCTATCCAGCTCACGGAACTAACCCCACGCCACTTGAAAAATATCTTCAATTAGTACTATTTATCATTTCTCTTTTTATATTTATTAGTGTTGCGATACACGAAAAAATAATATTATGATTCTATTATAAATTAAATATATAAATAACATTTATCATGATTGATCTATTGTTTTTAAATTAAATTGAGTTGGACACAGTCCGACCAGATAGACCGAGAACCGATTTATAACCAGTTTAGTTCGCTTGAATAAATTTTAAATAAAATTACATATTTAAATAAAATAGAGATTTAGAAATTATTTATCAATTAGTTAGAATATTTAAAATTATAAATTGTTTAGATATCTAAGTAACACATTTTATTTAAATTCATTATAAAAAGTAATATATATATTAAAATGTTTATAAATTAAAATCTGAACAAAACACAAATGATTTAATAAAATAGCTTGATCGTTTCGATGATGATCCAGTTCTAAAAACCTTATATTTACTGTACATTTATAATATTATAATAAAATATTATTTAATTCACATAAATATCAATAAAATGATATATAAATATTCATAAATTATTAAAAATGTTGTCATAAAAGTATTGTTAATACGATTATTTGAAGTTTGGACTACATCACATTCACGTAATAAAATATTGTCAATGTAAAATTTATATTTAGGTTCAATAATCGATTTGGTGTGGTCGAACTGATACATAACTTAGTCACCTGGGACCAACCAAGTTGTGTCAATTTTTTTTACTATTTTAAATATCACCTAAAAGTAATTCAATCAACCTGGACAATACCCTAATTCAATCACCCAATTGATTCGAACAAGTTTTCTTATTTTCTTTAAATATATTTAATTTTATAAAATAATTTTTTTTATGATTCATGTAATAAATGTATACACCAAATGATAGTATATTAAGATTATAAATTATATATCTAAAGATGAATTAATTATTTTTACTTAATGTATATTAATAAAAAAATAAACATAGTAATTTTTAAAACATTAAGATTAATTGATTGATTATGCAATTTAAAGAATATTTTTAGCGTTCAATATTTTTTTTAAAGGCACAAATATAAAGACCGAGATTCTAAAACTTTTGTTATATTTTGAATTGAGATTTATAAATATAGAGACCGATATTTTAATGTTGTTCGTTGTTTTTAAAAAAAATAAAAATAAAAACATACACACTTAATCAATCTTAGCCGGATTTTTTAAATAATAAAATGAACTAAAACTCGAAATTTAAGGTAACATTTAATGTTGTATGATTTTTAAACAAAAAAATAAGAAAAATAATAAAACTTTCAAAATTTAAGGTAGCATTTAATGTTGTATGATTTTTAAAGAAAAAAATAAGAAAAATAATAAAACTTACTATTTATAGGTTGCATTAAATTCTAACCTATTTTTTTGCTACTATTTTTGGTAAATGGTAATTCTTATTATATATATATAGATTATTTGCTAATTTTCTTACTTAGGTATTGATCAAAAGGCTAAAAAACAAACACAATCATAGATATATTGAGTTTTAATAGATTTTTTTTAACAAAGTTAATTATAAAAAAAAATATTTGATTAGATTTTTTTTTTAAATTTAGAGTTTGCATTAAAATAATATTTAAAATAAAATAATTAAAGTTGATGTGATGTAAAAGTATGAGAAAAGTGATTGTTAGTTAAAATTATATGAATAGATGAATAGTGAATTAGAGTTGATATGACTTGTAAGGATAAGTTGTTATTATTTAATTACATCGATAATATTGAAAATAATGGGATTGAGTTAAATTTGAGTTAGATTTACAAATGAGATTGATTATATATATATATATATATATATATATATATATATATATATATATATATATATATATCCAAGCATGCACTAAATGTATGGGAAAAAAATCTTGTGGATATCCACTAAATGTTTGAAAAAAATAAATCTTGTTTGGTCACCCACATCCATTTTTTTACCATCGAACCACTAGGTCCGTCAGCTAAGTTTTTGAAAAATAAATTATCTCCTATGAGAGTATGGATTCTCTTCGTTGAGGGGTCTTCATTCTCTTCATAAGAGCTTCTTGTTTCGTCTGCTTGACGTTTCTAAGGATCCCTAGTTCTTCCTTGCTCTTTCTCCCATTCTTTTTTCTTTCTAGGGCATTTTTAGGGTTTAGCGTGTAGGTTGCTTATGGATTCAGATTTTTCTAAAGCCATGGATTCTGAGGGTTTAGCAAAGGAAATTAGGAATAGGCTAAAGAATATCGAGCTCGCTATATCCGAAAATGAAGTGTTGAACTGGAGAACGACGACATCAGAAACTAGTGTCGAGAAATGGAAACGGAGTTTATTCGGGAAAATTATTGGAGACGAGAAGGCCAACCTCCTAGCTATTAGAAGAACAATGGGGCAAACTTGGCAAATCAAATAGCCGGTGGAGGTAAGAGAGCTCGGCCATAATTTTTTCCAATTTATTTTTGGGAATAAGAAGGACAAAAAATAAGGTTGCATCTGGTGTTAAGTGGATTTTCGAAAACCAGTATCACATTTTGATAGAATGGGAAGAAGGGGCAAGTGTTTCTCATAAAGGGTTCAATGAGCTTAGCCTTTGGGTTCAAGTTGGCTATGTACCGCTCAACTGGTTTAAGTGTTGAGGTGTCAAATGACGTCATAAGAACCATAACAAAGTCTTTTTTTTAGGCTATTCAATTAATATTTTTTTTTTGTCAAACGATATTATATTAATAACTCAAAAAGAGTACATCCGAGATGTCAAATGACGTCATAAGAACCATAACAAAGTCTGGAATCACCCAGTTGAAATTACACATGCAATCAAGGGGATAATAATACCTGGAAACAAAAAACTCCATAAAGAACCACTAAACAAACTCTATAAAGGAGAGTAAGAACGTCCAAAACAATAGCACACTTACAAACAATATAATATAACCTCCCCTACTTCTCACGGGCGCACCGCTACGGCCACTCAAATCTGCACATGAGACCAACCCCACAAAACAAAAGAGCAGCATACCTAAGACTCCAAAACAAAAAACTACTAACTTACTCAAACGCCTTATCAGATCTGGCAAGGATACGAGTCTCAACCAAAATCTGAACTCCAAAAGTCTTCAAGCCAGGAGAGAGAAACCGTCGTAAAAGACCCAAACCCGTGGTCTGGGAAGAGAAAGCCGATGTGGAGGAAGCCACCATCGAAAAGGTCCCAGCCGAGGCTTGATCGATAGAAAGAAGGCACTGGCAGCCGCCTCCGGCTCAGTTCGTGGTCGGGTGGGACGGGCAAATCGCAAATGGCAGGCCCACAGAGGAGAGGGGGGGGGGGGGGGGNCCGAAAACCCCCTATTTCTGTCAAAGCAAGTATAACGAGTTAGGCCCTATGGATAGTGGGACCCAGACAAATGTAATTTCCATTACTAATGGCCAAATCTTTTTATCTGTTGAGTACTCTTCTCTTTCTGCTATATATATCTCAATTACATCGAGCCTACGGGACTTGACTTGATCTCACTCATCTGACTCCTCTCCAACTTTTTCTTATCCGAGAGCTTCTCTTTTTAGAGCGAGAAAATGTAGGCGTAGCGCCCTGCTTTATGTCAATTAATGTCTATAGCGATGTTTTCCTTTTTTTATTTAATTTTAAATTATAATAATTATATTTTGCATTAATTAAATATAGTACCTTTTAACTGTTCTATAATATAATACATAATAATAATATTAAATAATTATAAATTCTCACCAAAATGCTTACTAAAGTTAGGCATCTATTAAAAAAATTACATTAAAGTTTTATTTCAAGGTACTTATTTTAAAATTATTATTTTTTATTTCATTAAGAAATTTTTAAATAGTTAAATGGTTTTAATGAAATACTAAATCCATAAAATCACGTAAATAATTATTATCTTAAGAGTAGTAGTTTTAATTTTTTTTAATTAATTTATTGGTCACGATTTATTTTTTAAAATATATTATTCATTACATTTTATATAATCTACAAAGCGATTCTTATATAAATAAATAGTTTATAACTATATTTTTAATTTTATTAATGATTACGTTTATAAACTTTGATATGTCATTAAATATAACTTATGATTTTAAATATAATATCCACACATATAATTTATTATATTTTACTCGCGTATGTGTATATGCACAAGTACTAGTTAATTTAATTCCTGCACATTATAAATTAATTATTAAATCTGAGTTTACTACAAAATTCAAGTGACAACTCCCACTTAATTGTTTAACTATCAAGTCCAATTTTTTAATCATGACGCGAAAAAAAAGAAGAACTGTTGCAGGATTCTACTTTTACTTTTTAGCCAATCAGTTAATTATGTGTTCCATGCTTTTCTTAAGTTTTGAATTATTTCTTAAATATTTGTTCGACCCTTTTAATGTCAAAAGAATTTGGGAGATAATGATATATTTACACAATTGTTTAGCTTTTTTTGTTAGATGCTTTTAAGGTGCATAGAATACAGAATATAAAGACGTGTGTGTGCGCTTAATCGAGCCAACGTATCACGCGCGTTTTTAACTAATTAAGCTTCAGCCACTGACACGGTGCCACGTGGCGTTCATGGGTGTTTATCTGAACGTACGCGCTACTCTTTTCATTTTTGTTTTTGTCCACCACCTCCTATTATTACTATCTACCGCCTCCTTTGACCATATTACTCCTCTCATAATTCTCTCTTTTTAAAAAAAATTCAAAATCTCTTTCAAACTCCTCCAACCTGATTCTCACTAAAAAATCCTCAAAAAATAGTAAATCGTTGCCACCGATCTCATGATTCCTCCAATATATTTTTTTTTTTCGAGTTGTAAATTATTTTT